AAAAAAAAAAAAATGGGGAGGGAGCTTGATAAGTTTCCACCTATTTGGTACATTGTATATGGCACACTTCTTTGTTAAAGGACTCAACTACAACTTGGACTTTGGACTTTAACTTGTAAACACAAATAATGTAACCTAGTTGTATATACCCCCACATCAACACAAAATAAAAATAATAAATAACAACAACAACAAAAGATTATATGGGAGACATATAATCAATAATTTCCAGGGAGGTATTTCAGAATTTCTGCCTAGTTTAGTCCTTAGGTGCCAGCTTCCTTGTATAACATAGGCATGTTGGAACATTAATCACTCTAAATAGATCTGAATGATTGATTTTAATTTTAGATATACAAGATATCATGAGGATTATAGGGTGGCTGGAATAAAAATTATTAGGATAGAACCTAATCTCCCATTTTGTCCCTTGGCCAACATACCCATATCCATTACCTGTAATCTATTGATGGTTTGAATCTTACTTGATTGCCAGTGAACTTTATTCACTATTAATGAGATTATTTAAGAAATGGGCTCTGAATTTTAGATAATTTTATTGTACCTCCGTAGTTCAGGCCCAATAAATAACTTAAACCCAGGTGCACAGAGCTAAATTGCCCAGTCTGTATCATTAGAGGAGTTTATTGCAAATCAAAGTCCCTGAAGATTTACAATATTGATTTCACTATGCTTAAAAGAAAATAAGCACATAAAAGAAATAATTTTTTAAGAAGAAATGACAAATTTCATGCAAAGTCACAGCAGAGCCCTGGACTCAATTCCTTGGCACAAGCCAATCTGCCCATGAAGTCCTGTCTTCCCTAAACAAGGAGGGGGTGAATTTGCTGCTATTCCTTCCTACCTACCGTGATCTCTCACTGCTGATCCCACTTTAGGGCTTCTCCTTTTCCCAAATGCCTGGATTTTGATATTTGATATTGCTGGACATGGAGTAAGTCAATAGTAAACTAATTCACGTTAAGGTGTTAGTGATACAGCTATTGAGGTAAGTTGCAGCTAACACGTTATATTTTTAAGAGAAAATATTAATTAAATATGTATTGAAATCATTAGCATTTTGAACTTTATCCATGTTTTTCATCTCCAGTTTTAAAAATTTTGTAGGCTTCTAAAAGCTGGCAGGCCCTTAGGCATCCTAGTGCTTCATGGTTAAGTATCTCTGGAGCTACTTTTAAAGGCCAATTGCCTCTTTCTTTTTCTTTATATACTTGTTTCAAAATGTAAACAAACAAAGAAAGACCTCTTTATTCCTTATTGTTTTTTTCTTAGTTGATTTAAATAGTTTCAAATCTTTAACTGATATTCTGCAAGAACAGAAATATTCCTAACATTCTTAGCGCTAGAAAACAGTCACAGTAGTAAGTAGGTCAAATCTGTATTGTTCAGGAGACAAGGAGATTTTTGTTGTTTGTTCTGAAGGGAGTGATCCTTGTGAGAATAGGGGCCTTAGTGCTGGTGAGGCGTAAATTGTGACACGGGGCTGCTGCTTTTTCCTACAAGGACGTTGCCGCTAATTGTGTGACATTGAAAACATTTTGTGTAAGCATGTGAGGCTCCGGGAAGTTTTTCAAAGCCACACTATCTTTCTCCTCAGGAAGAAGTTCTCACTGTACTTGAAAAGAAGATAGTGAACTTTGAAAAGGGCCAAGATTGAACAGCTCCTAGGAAGCAGCCAAAGTTGCAGCATCCTCACCGCAGCAGCTTCTCTGTGACTTAAGGAAAACACGATTCTCTCTTATCTTTCGATTACTGTAGGCACTGGGTCATTGCAGAGTTCAGTGCATTTGTATTTGAGAGTAATGAGAACGCAAGCTGAAGTTTGAGCTTTGGGCCACTGTTAGCCCACGTTATGGCTGGACCAAGGGTAGGGTCAGGGGCCTGGGCCGCGGAACTGTGTGGCCTGTTCACTTTTCCTCGCTTTCAGTCTTTTTCCAGACTCGGGCGAACCTCACCCTGAGTTTATACAAGCCTCACAGCAGCCAGCCAGGCAGCTGCCCAGGGCCGGCGCTCAGGAATTCCTCCCGCAGGGACTCAGTCCGGCGGACAAAGCAGCCTCAGCTTCAGCCAGCTGGTGTCTCAGCTTCATCCAAAAGCCGCAGCGCGGACGCACCAGGCAACGCCTCTGCTGCCAGCCAATCAGCAGCAGGGGCCGCGTCGGGTCATCACTCATTGGTCCGCGTTGGCCACGCCCCGCGGCAATCGCCTCCTCCCGCCGGTGCATAAAGTCTCAGCCCGGGAGTCGGGGTGACCCGCTTGCTGCACTCGCTGTCGCCTCTTCTCTCGTGACTCTGCTCCCTTTCGCCAGATCCCTCTGTCTCTCTCCAGCCGCCGGTTTCCTAAATCTATCTTCGCTGTTTTCCGGTCTCCTTTCTTCCACCGTCAGCATGCAGAAAAAAGATGCCTCCTTTGATGGTTTCCTGCCTAGCTTCCAACATTTCGCCACCCAGGCCATCCATGCGGGCCAGGATCCGGAACAATGGACCTCCCGGGCTGTGGTGCCCCTCATCTCCCTGTCCACCACATTCAAGCAGGGGGCGCCGGGCCAGCACTCGGTGAGCTGGGTCTGTCTGGGGCAGCCCAGAGGTGGGCAGGAAGAAGATATGGCTTATACATTAAAATGGGCCATAAGTAATTTATAAGATGACTTATAAAGTAGGAAAGCAACCCTAATAATTTTTGCAGTAAAGGTTTGTATTGTAATACTCTATATGAGTAACAAAAGATGAATACATGTTACATTGAGCACCTCTTGTAATTGCAGAAATCAAAGGACTTGAGTATTAAGAATTTAATACATTTTTTTCTTTCTTAAAATGTGTATACGTTGTTTTGACAGCCTCTGTATATAGAAACATATATGATATATGATATCATGTATGTTACGAGTATTGTCTCATCACCTCCTAATGACAACCCTATTCTGAACTGATGGAATAGGTGAGATTTGGAATGTTAAGTAACCAGCCCAAGGCCAGTAAGTGGTGGAGCTAGAATCCTTACCCTGCTCTAGAACCCTACGCGGAGGTGCACTGTGCTATTACCCCACTAATGTCAGTGGTGATTTAACTCACTGCATCATTTCAGCAGTGGGGCTTAGTGACTAAGAGCACCCGTCCTGTGGTCTAAATTCTGACACTGTCTGCTCTGACCTGGGAGAGCTTGAGCATGTTACTTAACCTATCCAAGCCTCAGGTTGATCTTGTATAGATGGGGATAATAATAGTACCTACTATGTGAGTTGCTGAGATGTATGTAAAGCTGTTGGGTACATAGTAGTAACTCAACAGTAGTTTGGATTTTCACGATGTTCACATTTATGCTATTTCCATGTGATCCTCACAACGACCAAGTCAGTGGGAAGACAGATGTTAAATACCTGTTATAACAGGAAAAGTAACTGGCCACGTAAAGCCTGGGGAAGAAAGCTTTGTTAATCACATAGCTTTATCTTTCCAATGTCATACTTGATGGATCTTGGAGAATTTAAAAGTTGCTGAGGTTTCCAAGAAATTAGTTGACCTTTGTAGGTCTAAAACCTTATTATGCTTTGAAAACTACTTAAGTGTATTATTACGCCCCATTAGCCTAGGAGATTTCTTATAGACTTTGCCCTTGGTTTTGTGAGGTGGAGTTCTAAGGGCGGAACTACAACTGGTTTAGCATACTCTCAGCTGCTGTATTTTGGAGTCTACATGTGTACGTCACCTCTCTTCATGCATATGGTTTGTTCTTGGTGTAGGGTCTAGTGAATGCCTGGCTGCCCAAGCTTTGGAATTTTTTTTTTTAATAAAAAACCATTCAGTTGTGATATTAAGAATTAAATGTTTTCGGAAATCCAGCAGGGGTGGTTAAATCCAAAAGACTGTGCTTAATACCTTTCCAAAATCAGCTTATACCTCTAAAGGGAATTTGAAGACCTGAATGAGAAACATCTAAGTCTCTAGTTCCATTTGAATAGACATTGAGTGGGTAAGGCCCTTTGGCACTGAAACATGCTTCCTTACCTCCTTTAAAGTTAAATATCTGCAGTGAATATTTATGGAAAATGTGAGGTACCTTTCTGTGGCAGGAATCCAAGCATTATTTTCTGGCTGGTGGGAACAGCTGCAGGTCATGGTAAGGCAGCAATGGTGAGGTGTGGAGAGGGTATCCTGGAGCCCCATGAAATATATCTGTTCACCTGGTCAAAAATGAGGAGACACAGCAACAAAACTGTTAGAAATCATTGTTACCAATACTGGGAGCTTCTGAATCTGAAACAAAGGTGGAAAAAGTGTTGTGTTTTGTGACGTGCTAACTGAGGCAGGGAGAGACACTATAGGACTGTTAATCAGTGTTTAAATGCTGGGTTTAAATTCTGGCTTTGACAGTCCCTAGGTACTATAATATTTGTCTTCACATTCTCAAAGCCAGTTATGAGGATTAAATAAAATTGTTACCACCCAACCAGGTGAGTCCTTTGCCTGATGCCCAGATAGAGGCCAACACTGAGACAGCAGGTGTCATAGCAGAGAAAGAGTTTAATATGGAAGGTGCTGAGTGAGATGAGAGTAACTTTTCTAATCCATCTCCTTGAGAACTGGGGGGCTAAGATTTTTAGAAATAATCGGTGAACAAAAGGCTAGGGAATAGGACTGCTAATTGGCTGGGTATGAAATCGTGGATTTGGGAGGCAGAAATTATCTTCTTGGTGGAGACAGTCCCTGGGTAGAGGGTCGCAGGGTCTATTGGATCTGGCCACTGGTGTGGTTGATGACAGTTGATGCCCCTGAATATCTAGAAGATTTCATAAAGATCAGTCCTAGGTTTTCCCTGTCATCTACAGAAGCGACTAGAGACATCAGAATGTCGCTCCAGTCAAGGACATGTGACACTTATTTTATCCTCACAATAATTTTATGAACTAGATATCTGTATTTTATTCCCATTTTACAGATATTAAGAATGACTCTTGGAAATGTTGAGGAATTTACCTATTGGCTTGCAGCTCATAAGTGGCAGACAGAGAGTTCTGACAGAGTTTGACTTCAGACCCCCATGACAGTGTCATGGTTGTTTCTGTCTAATGGCCTGGCACACTGTGACCGGAGAACAGACATGTGTGGACTCAAATAGTAAATGTCTTGGAATTAACTCTAACATCTTTTCCTCAGGGTTTTGATTACAGCCGTTCCGGAAACCCCACTAGGAATTGCTTGGAAAAAGCAGTGGCAGCCTTGGATGGGGCAAAGTACTGTAAGTGATTTTTGTTTCACAGACGAGACTCCATCTTAAAATGTACCAAGAAAATTATATGACTTTAATGGAGAAGTCAAAAAAGAAAACAAAAGGAAAACATTTAAATAAAAGATAAAAAGAAAAAATCATAGAGGGCACAGAATACAAAACTGTAAAGAAATCAAGATTTGGTAGTCAGAAGTCTTCTTCTTCTTCTTTTTTTGAGACAGAGCCTCAAGCTGTCCCCCTGGGTAGAGTGCCATAGTGTCACAGCTCACAGCAACCTCCAACACCTGGGCGCAAGTGATTCTCCTGCCTCTCCCTCCCAAGTAGCTAGGACTACAGGCGCCCGCCACAATGCCCAGCTATTTTTTGGTTGCAGCCATCATTGTTGTTTGGCAGGCCTGGGCTGGATTCGAACTCGCCAGCTCAGGTGTATGTGGCTGGTGCCTTAGCTGCTTGAGCCACAGGTGCCAAGCCAGAATTCTTATTTTATTATGACTTGCAATTCTTTGCCCAAACTCCCTCATTGGCTATAACATGCATATGTGTAACTATTTACTATGGTAAATGTCTGCCTACATTATATATATTTTATCTTAAAGATATCTCATTCTTTTCTTTTTTTTTGAAACTGGGTCTCACTCTGTTTGCTGGAGAAGTGCTGTGGCATCATCATTGCTCACTGCAACCACAATCTCCTGGGCACAAGCGACCTTCCTGCCTCACCCTCTGGAGTAGCTACCTATGAGAATACGCATGTTTTTAATGCTCTGGTTTATTCACCTGATAATTTGTGCCTCCAAATAGCACCAATGTCTTTTTGCAGTAGCAAATAACCCATGACAATGTGCTCTCAGAGATTAAAGATTAACTCCTTGAACCTTTTTTTTTCATGAAGGGAGTGGATTGCTGTTAAGTCACTTTTTTTTTTTTTTTTTACATAAATGATACTAAATAAGGATAGGAGAGGGAATAGAAAATAAGAATCTTACGTATCCATTGGGATTAAACTTATCAGACAGATGTCAGGTCTGGTTCTGAGTTTCATTAAAATACTTGCTGAATTGTGTTTCCATGTAATTAACAAAGGAATAATATCTTTGCTCTGTTCCTTATATTTGAAATTTTTTATTTTGATAATTTTGAACTATAATTTAATTGGCAATAGGCCTTTTATCTCAGATTTTTGTAAAGAATTATTTCAAGTATTTTAGAAAATTTTGTAACAGAATTAATGTAACACAAAAAGTGTCTGTACACATTATTTTTTTAATCATAAAGATACCTTTTTTTTTACACTGGGTCTCACTCCATTTGCTGGCTGGAGTGCAGTGGCATCATCGTAGCTCATTGCAACCACAATCTCCTGGGCTCAGGCGACCTCCCTGTTTCACCTTCTGGAGTATCTAAGATCACAGGAGTTTACCCTCACACCTGGCTAATTTTTGTATTTTGTGTAGAGATGAGATCTTACTATGTTACTCAGGCTAGTCTTGAATTCATGGTCTCAAGAGATCTTCTCACCTTGCCCTCTCAAAGTGTTAGGATTACAGGCGTGAGCCACCTTTTGTAGCCACTTACTTTATTCTTCAAATAGAAAGGGGGATTTTGTAATATTAGAGAATTTTGGTAACTCAGACGTGAAGGCTGTCCTTCTGTCAGCAGAGACAGGGCACATCAAGTAAAGCCCACAAACACTCCAGGTGTTTTTTAGCCCAGTAGTCCACAAACTTTTTGGCACCAGAGTCTGCTTTCAGGAAGACAATTTTTCCACGAATGGGGTGGGGAGAGGATGGTTTGGGGATGATCCAAGCTTGTTATCTTTATTGTGCACTTTATTTCCATTATTATTACATCATAATATATAATGAAATAATTATACAACACACCTTAATGCCCAATCAGTGGGATCCCTGAGCTTGTTTTCCCACAACTAGAAGGTCCCATCTAGGGGCAATGTGAGACAGTGACACTGGAAGTGTGTTGCTCTTGTGTCCTCAGCTCCATCTGACATCCTCAGGTGTCAGATTCTCCTAAGGAGCACACAACCCACGGTTCCTCCTCCTGTGAGACTCTATTGCCTGAGCTGATGTGACGGGAGGCGGAGCTCAGGGGGCTGTAAACACAGAGGAAGCCTCCTGTGAGACTCTATTGCCTGAGCTGATGTGACGGGAGGCGGAGCTCAGGGGGCTGTAAACACAGAGGAAGCCTCCCTCATCTCATGCTGTGCCACCTGTTTCCTAACAGGCCACTGACCAGTACCAGGCTGGGGCCTGGAGGTTGGGGACAGGTTTTAACCTATAGGTCTGAGTTTTCCGTTTACTCTAACTTGATTTTTATTTTAGGTTTGGCCTTTGCTTCGGGTACAGCAGCCATTGTGACCATTACCCATCTTTTAAAAGCAGGAGACCAAATTATATGCATGGACGACGTATATGGAGGTAGGTGACCCCTTCCTTATACTGTGTCTAGTGACATGAGCCCTGAGTTATGTTAACAATGTAGCCAGTATGATGGATTATTTATTACCTTTTAAAGGTGTGACGGACCCCTCCACATGGTCTCAGATTTGGCAAAGGAAGAGCATAAACACTTAGGGTCCATGCTTTGGAACTGCTTGTAAGAAAGATTGTTTAATTAGAATTATGTTTAAACTGCTAGAAACAGCATATAGGACCTGATCAACTTTCAGAAATATTCTGCTCTAGAGAAGCTAATGTTTAGAGAGAGTGTTCTAATAATTTAAAATTTTTACCTACAATGAAGATGAACTATAAGTCAAAGAGCTCAACCCTGCCTCTTCCCGTCCCCCCTTTATTTTAGCTTTTGTTTCAGGGAAACTTGAAGTTTTGTCAAAAGTTGTGGACATCTTCCACTGAAGGGACTACACCTCGTATTTACATTTTAGTTATAGGGATCTGATAGATTTATCCCTTGAAGCCTATTCATGAATCCAAATTTAAGAACTTCCATTCCAAAGAGATTAAATGTCAGCCGTTTAAAGTGGGTGAGTGGGGAGGAGACGGACTTGCTCTCACCTTAAGCAGGCCTGACTTTTGTGTTCATAACAATAGCTATGAATTAGATGTACGTTTGCGTATATTCCACATGCTTCCAGATAATTAAAATGATTTCTAGGGTATTACTATCATTTTATATATTTCCTATCTGAACAAAAAGTTAAATATCTAAGTTCTTCGAAGGAAAAGGTTTCCTTTTAGTAATCATTTTATCCCTCAGAAACCAGCACAGTGCTTTATATTTTATCTTGGTCCTTATAATCATTGTTGAATTGAAATTTTAGAAATCTGAAACATTTAATTACTTTTATCCATGCATTATAAAAACCTCATGGCAAATATAGGTACTAAATCCTGAAAACTGTTGACTTTTGAGAATTCTGTATATTCTTTTTCAACCTTTTATTTCTTAGGGTCAGTCAAACTAATATCAAAAGTCTAGTTTATCTTTGATCATAGAGTGGTTTTCTTCTTTTCTGTTGGCTATCAAGAATAGCTATTTTTTCATCAAATTTGTCTATATGAAAATCAAATTCAGAACAGTATTTATAAAATATTTATTCTAAGTTGAATGATTTTTCTTCTTTCACTGTGAAAATCGAGGAGTTTGATTTACATGGTCTCATTTGTCTGTTGAAGTTTTAGAACTACACAGAAGTGATTGAGAAAGTGCAAGTGCCCAGTTCTTTTCTATGACCAAAGCATAATTAAATTGGAAAGTTTTTTGAACATTTCATTGACGTTAGTTGATTTATTTTAGATTTGAATACTAGAATGAAATTGTTAAACATGATACTACTGTTTCAGTGAGCCACTCACTGTGTGAAGTACATGGAATGAGTGTTTTGAGAAACACTTTCCATGTAATGCCACTTTTGTGAATATCAAGTGTGTTTTATGTGACTCTTGGGCTTTAAGTTTAAAGTCTAAACCATCTATCTTCTAACTAAGTACCTGAAGTAAAAAGAAAAGAAAAAAAAAATAAAGTCCCAGCCTTATTATCCTCTATTATATTGCCTTTAGTTGCATTTTACTGGTGACTGGGAGTTCCTTGTAATTCTCAACTGTTTATACCTGTAAGGAACAAACATTTCTTAATATAATGTTCTTTCCCTTTGATCTCATACTTTCCTGCCCAGGTACGAATGTGTACTTCAGGCAGATAGCATCTCAATTTGGATTAAAGATTTCTTTTGTTGATTGTTCCAAAACCAAATTGCTGGAGGCAGCAATTACACCAGAAACCAAGGTAACTCAGCTAGTTTTTGGTTCTGTACATTTTCTTTGTTTGATGTTTTATTTTCATCATTTCTGCTTACTAGAGGCTGA